GCGTGTCGTGGTTTTCCCCGTGTCGCAGACCCACCCGGCTCCGCAGAGCCGTTAGTCTCTTCCAGAGGGCTCCGAGGGTGCTGCTGGGTCGTGGTTGATCACAGTCGCCTCGTCGTCCGACCATTGTCCCTCGGTCTCCATCAGGCCCCCGAAGGCCTGCCTCCTCGATCAACTTCTCCCTCTGGGCCTCCACCCTCTTCTCCAACAGGGCTGGATAGGTGAACCGGGGTCTTCACCTCCTCGTTCGCAAGGGCTGCCGTGCCCTCCTTCAGCAAATCCTTGGGCTCCTTCACCGCAGAAGCCTTCGCACTTGATCACTGCATTCTCCTTCGCCGGTGTTCTGGTAGTAGCCGGAGGTGACGTCCTTGGGGTCGGTCGTGTCCTTGTGGTAGTCGTCGACGTCGGGCTCGGCATTCGGCTTCTCCATGGGCTCCCGGATCATCACGTTGTGCCCCTGCTGTCGCAGGCGGCCGGTCACTTCCATGCACTTGTCGTTCACCAGCTTCTCCGTCACCGCAATGGCATCCATCTCCATTCGAAGTTCGCTGATCGCCGTTGCCAGAACCACCCTGGAGGGACCCGCCTGACGATACGTCCCGGTGTGAGGTCCTCGTGGTTGGTACTCCAGGCGGAGAGCACACCCGGTGCACGTCCGCCAGTTGGCGAACTGATTGCTGCGAAAGCGCCCCGGAGTGTGGCTGCCCTTGCACGGCCAGCCGTCCCATCGCGGATCGTCCTCGGGGGAAGGAAGGATGGTGCCGCTCATGCTGACGACGTTGAAGGGCTGAAAGCTTGAACCTCAAGTCACGGACATTTTCAGCAATGTTCAAGCTCCCTGGGATCTCAGAAGATGTAGCTACCGTCAGAGAAGTCGGAAGCACAGGCAGACACCACTCGCAGCACTGGTACGCAGTCTGACATGAAGCATGGAAGTCATGACATTCACAACGGCTCTCTGACTCATCACTGTGGTGTTCATGCTCTGCGACAGACATCACAAACAACTCCTTTTCCGGACCGACATAGGAGAGCTGCAAGGCTTGTCCCAGAGGAGGAGGCGCATTGTCATCCTCGGTGCCCGGTATCACCGGGCCTCGACCACGACGGGCTTCCTCGGAGAAACCCGACACCGAAAGCACATTCTTCAAGGTCTCCAGGTCCTCGGGAACCTCTATGCCAAACCGCTCTGCTAAGTAGGACTTCACGGAACCAAGGGGCTTGCTGGTGGAGGCCAAGTCCACCAGGAGGTGACCGCCGGGCGTCGTGCTCACAGGAAGAACTCGTAGCTCACCGGTGCGCTTCTGGAACATCAGGGTGTGGTCGCCGTAGTTGACCACTGCCTGGATCTCTCGCAAAGCTCGGCCGCCAAGTAGCAGGGGAGTCTGCTGAGCAGTCTCGTCGTCCAGGACATACACAGACAACGTGCCGAGGGCGGCCATGATGATGTCCATGCGGGAGGTCGCCTGCATAGTTCGCCCGTTCCCGAACCGGAACACAGGTCGATCCTCCAGCAGCACCTGGTATCTGAACTTGGTCGCCTCTAAGAACCGCTCCATAGTCTCGATGCCACAAGCAGACTCCGTGGCGCCGGTATCCACGATCACCTCGCTGGCCCGAACCTTGCTCGGGACGGCTTCGTCACACGAGAGCACAAAGGAAGAGCACTCCACGTCGCTCTGGCTCTCGTCTTCCTGCTTCTCAACAACCTCAAAGGAGAACACCGTCGCATAGCCAAGGTCGGAGGAATAGGCATCGGAGCCCTTGCCCTTGAAACCTTTGCTCCCTTGCCGGATGGCTTCCCAGAGAAGCCCTTTCCTTTCGATCTCGAAGGGCACTCGTAGTAGCGATGCCCAGGGCGGCCACAGGCAGTGCAAACTCCAGGGGCACCTTTTCCAGGAGGTCGGAATCCACGGCCTTTTCCAGACGACGGGCGCTTGGCAGAGGAGCTTGGAGAGCCTTTGCCACCCAAAGGAAAGTAGCCTCTGGCTTGCCTCGCCTTCTGCACTGCTTCTCGTGCCTGTTGTAGGGTCTTCGTGGCCTCCTCGGCGATGGCAAACGCCTCGGCTTCCTCTTCCATGAGCTACTTTTTGTTCTCGTCCAGAGGGGCCTCGGAGTTCTCGTCCGCCGGCTCGGCATAGTCCTCGTTGCAGTAGGCCCAGTCCTCAGAAGCCTCAGGGTACCACTCCTGAGGTTCATCTTGCCAATAGGGCTCGGCCTCCTCGTAGAACTCGTCCCAGCTCCAGCCGTCATTATACAAGGCGTCGTCGTGCTCGGCCCACCAGGCCGTCGGCCGGGATCTTCGCTGGTGGTCGGGCCACCCATCATCAAACATAGTTCGCAAGGCCTGCCTCACAGTCGCAAACTTAGTGCTGTTGCGGGTCAAGGTCAGCACCTGTTGGCGTTCAGAGCTCTGGAGGGCACACGCCTTGAGTAGGCGATAGCCCCTCAACTCATCTTCAAAATAGCCAGGCATCGTGGTCGCCGAAGCCGCCGTCTTGGAACGCGTCGATGACGTAGGAGATGACCCCTTAGGAGCAGAAGGGCTGCCCTTTGGCGTCGTTTCTTTCTTCTCTTCCTTCTACGGCCCCCGTCCTCGTCATCTTCATCGTCTCCAGGAACCTTGCTGAGGTGCCAGGAGACATCCCAAAGGCATTTTCCTTGGGGTTCTGACGGGCTCTTTGAAGAGACTGCTGAAGCTCCACAAAGAGTTCCTCCTCACGCACCAGCAGCTGAGGCACCGTCTCGCCTTGGCGGCGATGAAGATTAGACCACCGCTCCAGCCTCTGAAACGTATCAGGCACCGGCAGGCGCTGCAGCGGCGAGCCTCGCAGCACTTCCAAGAGCTTATCCAGCCCATTCGCTGTAGCATATTGCTCAGGATTCAGGTTGCGAACCACAGACTTGGCACTCCCGGACAGCTTGTGCCACACTCTCGGTGCGGCAAGGTGCCGCTCACTCTGTTTCAAGGAAAAACTGTACCACCGGCAATCGGTGGCGAAGCGCTCAAACGTGTTAGGACTGCCATCCCAGCTCGGAACCTCACAAGAGTGGGCCATGTGATGCCCGAAAGCTCCTTCTTGCCGGCCTGCCTAGCAAACTCCAACCAACACCAGCACCCTTGAAGCGGAGAATCGTGTAAAAGAGGGTCTCCCGAATCGGCTTCGCCTTGTCGAGCAGACTTCGTGGCCCGGGCCCTCGCCAGTGCTCACGCTACCATGAAAGTGGCACACACAAGCCACTAGGAAGCGAAAGGCTCACAGCGCCCTTTCTTTTCTACCGCAGCTTCTGCTCACAGTCTCGAGAGGTCCCTCCCTGCGGCACGAACGAAAGACTCATCACTCAGCATGCGAAACCCTATGCTCATGAGAACTTGCACCGCCGGAGCCGCCCGAAAGAGGGGCAACCACTACTTTTCACGCCGCAAAGCGCGAAGGACCGCGGCCCCAACACCGCTGCCCGAGAATGTATGGAGCCCCAACACCCACGACTAAAACACACAGGTCTTTGCGAGGCGACAACTTTCGCCTGCCCGAGGTAGACGGGTGGTCGCGAGAGGAAACGAAGACACTGACCGCACCGGCTCCACCAAGTGCTTCCGCATATCAGCAGCTGCATACGCTGCAAGAACCCTCCATGGTTCGCTTCTCATCGCAGAAACCTTCGTCTGGACAGGCCGATCATCGTCTGTCATCTCAGACTCAGACCACTTGCCGTTGTCCTCTGCCGCAGACTTGCGCGCGGAGGATTCAATCACCACCTTGTCTCCATCCTTGGCGCAATGTCACGTCCCGCAGAAAGGAACACCTGCCACCGCAGGAAACCGAGTAGGCGCAGGATCTCGCAGCCACCATCCACAGCCACAATAATATGTGTTGGCTTCTGCCAATATCGCTGGGCCCGCACACCGATCCTGTGCAGGGAAGCGCCAGCCTCCCCAATGCAGCGGCTGTAGCACGCTACAGGATTCGGCCAAGGAGGCTGTCAGCGATGGGGTCAGCGTGAATGAATTTACATTTCGGGTCAGGAAAAACAGCTTCTGGCTGCCCAGTAAAAAATCCAACTTGTCTGACCTTGTCAGAATTACACAAGGCTTGGAGATGGAGACCTTGAATTTCAGGTTTCGGGTTGAGACTCAGGGAGAGTTTGATTGAGCACACCACAGGTAGTTACCTCGAGCCAGTGCTTTCCGCGTCGGCAAAAACCGAAGCTCGGTCAGGATCGGGACGGTCCACAACAAGAAGATCTGCGAGGTACGGTGTGGAGGACTGGACGGTATCCGGACACATCCAAGTCGGGATGGTACAGGAGACCTCGGCAATAGTCAATGCAGGGTTTTGTTGTGCCTGGCACCGGTGTGCTTCTGGCCCCAGGTTTTACCAGACGGCAAATGGATCGGGCGTGCTAGTGGCAGTTGCTCAAGAAGCACCCGCGCAAGACAAACCGTTTGCAGATTTCCTTGCCCTCGGAGTGCGTGGTAGCAGCTTTCATCAAGACCATCCATGATCGCACATCACTCGCACTCACGAGGTGTCGGGGAAATAGTCAGGACCGGGACGAGTAATTATGAGTAGTTCGGCCATGGGGTCACGACCAGAGCCGCGACCACGGACGGCCACGGCCACAACGACCGCTGCGACTACCACGACCACCGCGACGACGACCACCCCCACCGCGACCGTGACACGACAGAGTGCTCAGCTGGCAACTAATCGCTATCCCGCCCAAGAGTTCACTGTCTCACACACAGTCGCTTGAGGCTCAAGGCCTGCGTTCAATCAGGCACAGTCAGGAGGCTCACAAGAGGAACAGCTCCAGCTGAAACTCGAGCACTGAACGTGTTTTCGCAAACGCTGTCGTGGGCTGCCAGACGCGCTTGCAAGGTCTGCGAGCCGGCTACTCTCGAATCGCTTGAACAGAGCGGAAACATACACAACCCCCGCACACTTCGAACACGACTCCGTCACCACACATGACAACTGTTCATCTGCTGAGTGTTTGACCAATCTGGTCTCCGAGAGCCGAAGCGGTAAGATTGGAGATCTCCCCGCCCAAGGCATCGCTCATATACTGCCCGATCTGGCGCAGCAAAACGCAGGGACGACAGCGTGTTCATCCGCTCACATGCCTTGGCTGCGGTGGTGTTGCTGCCAACGGCTTCAGCCAGAATCTCCTGCTGCATGGCTCAGGATGCATACACAAACACGGAAAGAAGCTAAGCCTGTGAGCGCCTCCAGTGGCTTCTCCAGGGACTGAGCCAGTGGGGTTGAAATCACATCACCGATCCTGCAGACGAAAAGTTCGAAAGATCTGGAATCTGTGTGGTTCCGGACTGTCTGAGCATCGAACATGGTTCCCAGTCGCTGCCCAGCATTGTGCGCAGCCGAGTGGATGGCCGACTCCAGCTGGGGGGCGGACCTAAGCAAAAGCTGAAGCCAAGTTGAGCCGTGCAACATCTTGAGCACGCTGCAGGGCACAGAAACTTTGCGAAGCTCGACAGCCACGACCGCACTTCACATCAATATCATGATGTCGCAAGCGCAGAAAAGAACACCTCTTCCAGTCCAAACCCAACACCTCCGAAACCACCGCGGGAGAACGATTGGCAATGGCACCCGGTAACAGGAGTCCCGTGCCAGAATGCACATCGGACTGCGCCGGGTGCACGATGTGTGGAGGAACAAACATGAGTCGCAGCCGAATCATGCACGCCTCAACAGTTCGGCAGGCGGACAAGCACAGACGGCACTGCGGCGAGAGGCTATTCATCAAGTTCGCAAGTGCCAAAGTTGTGCCGGCCTTCCCGGTGGACACGGCCACCGCGGGCAAGTCGAAAATGTACAACACGCCACGACGGACTCCGAGTGAAATAGACAAAGAAACGACGTGGACACATGAAGCAAGGTGACATTTTTCTATCGTACCGACCAAAGCAGAACTGCGCAGAAGGCGGCCCATGCTGCCCCATGATGAAGAGCTTCTCGACCCAGAAAGCCACCCGTTTCGGAGTCCGGCGCGGTCCAGCGAGACGCTCGAGTGCAATATACATCACCAAAATGCACTGATTCTTGTGAGCATCCGGTCTGCTTTGACGGCAAATCTTAGACAAGTGCGAGAGAAGGTCAGACGATCGAGGCAACAAGCCAGCTCGCTAAAGAAATCCGCAAGACTCAGCAATGCCGAGGCCCAGCTTGTTGATAAGGCCCACAAGCTTGGACTCCACTGTCTTGCGCACGTCCTGGGTACCAGAAAGCGGTCAAAGGGTTTAGGCCCGTTCAAGTATGGGGATGTTCAGCGCACAAGGTCAATCAATGGACAAGCACTGGTCGCAGCGCTCGGCAACGGCACGGATGCACTGAAATTCTTCCTGTAGCCCGTGAGAAAGCATCTTGACTGCAGGGCACAGGGAAATTCATTTCGTCACATCGCGATGGCTAACGGCAAAATGCCGTCGAAGAGAGGCACAGGAGAAAATCTTCTACGTAGCCTTGAGCAGATGTTCGAAGCTCAAGGCTCTCTCAAAGCACGCGTTCTTCTCTTGAACCGGGAGCCGCAGCTCCGCAGCTCGCATAGGGCGTGCGAAAGAGCCTTGGCAAACCGTGTCCTCGACGGCTTTGGTGAGGAAATCTTCCACTTTGGCCTCTAAGTCGTTGATGCCCTGCTGTCATGAGGAGACAAGAGCAGACACATCCTTCATGTGTGCGGAGACGTGGCCTTAGGCGTAGCATACTTTTCCATGAGCTGGATGAAGCTCTCAACCTGTGCGGTTTTCTGAGAGCACGGCATGAAGCATACTCCAGAGCAGCCTTCTTGATCATGGCTTGAATCTTGGATGCGAAATCATCAATGGAGTTGCTCGACTCAGACGCATAGTCAAAAGAGTAATGCCTCAGCCGTCGCACTCTTGCAGACTTGAGCACTGACGCCACGGGCATGCACGTGCGAAATGTCATGGATGCAAGCTAGGATACTGTAGCTCCTTCGCCCTGGCTGATGCGTTGCTGCGCAAGAAGGCAGCAAACTCCAGCGTCTCGGGAACTGCCACGACTCCTCCTATCAGAAGCGAATACAGTGACAGGCGAGAGCGTCAACGTGCCGTGCCTTGCGCAGCTGATCTTGCCTTGTCCTGGCAAGGAGCAGAGAGACTACACTTCGTTGCACGAGCGGTCGGCGTCCTGGTTTCCAACATCGGATGCCGACCTCAGCACAGCGTTGCAGCGCAGCGAAGCCGCTTTAAACTCGCCGCCAAGACACACTCCGCCCAGGAGTCGCTTCAGGAGAAGCTGCGAGGTCTGCGAGGAGAAGAGCTCGTTCCGCCTGCGCTGGCGTGCCTGCGGAAGGTTACGAAAACGGGTGTCTTCTCGACACGGCCACAGACCTGCAGTCGCTCCAGGCGGTAAAGCCGTGCACTCTCCTCACGAAGAGACAGCCCATGCAAGGATGTGCATTGGTAACAAGGCTTGAGGCCACCATGTCACTTTGCGCTGGATCAGGTGCAATCATAGTTTGCTGGGGTTTGATTGGGCTGCTTGGGTTCTTTTGGCATACACTGTGCAAAGAAGCACAGCCGAGAGTCGTTGCGCGAAGCTAAACCGACGACCCCTGCCTGGCATTGTGGCATTGTGGACCGCTCCAAAGCGGTGAGACACGACACAAAGTTGGGTGACATTGTGTTGCACTCGTGGTTCCAAATCCAAGTCGGAACCGGGCAGGCCTCAGCAAAAGCCACAAGCTGAAATCTTGTTCATATGACTCGCCGTTGAAGAACACTGAGTCGAACATGCCCGCGTTGACCAACATCTACATCGTGTAAAACGGCACTCAGGGATCAGATCACCGCACACACGGCCCGTCCTCCGCCATAATGAAAGCTGCTTGGGGCATCGCTTCGAGCAGCTCCAGTTCCTCGCAGTGCAACGAAGGAGCGGAGCAAGGCGGAAGAGTTTTTCCAGTCCTGCTCCAGCGTGCTGTCCAGCGTGCTGCGTGTGCTCCCATCGAGCAAAGAGAGCAAGCTGGAGCCACCCTGCGTCATCGCGGTCTTTTGAACCTGTGCAGAAGAAAACATTTCCAACACAGGGCCCTTTGTGAGATGCTTGGAGCCAGATGTTTCTCCTGAGTGATCCAGGAAGTCGCCATCTTGATGCACTCTGGCTGGTCCTTCAGGTCGTAGCCTTTGCATGGACACGAAGGAGCATCTGCGGCATTCTGCTGCAACTACGTGGCCTTGAGATTGCCACCACGACGAGTTGCCCAGCAAGTCGATGGTGCTGAGCATCGCCTTTGCCAAAATCGGATGGACTGAGCTGAGCGTGCAAATAACTTTCTGTGAAAACTTCGCCTCAGGGTGAAGTTTGTACACTTCCTCAGCCAGAAGATCGAATCTGACAGGAACGTGAAAAAAGAATCAGAAGGCGCTTCTTGGCCAAGCATCTGTGGTCAACAAGAGGCCGGTGTCGGCACCTGCCGGTAGGGACTCGCCGGTGGCCCTCGTCCCTTTGGCCAAGTGCCAGGCTAGTGAACACGGCTGCATTGGGATCTTTGCTGGAGAGGCACATCCTCAGAATTCTTTGCAAAGACCAGAGCTCATTGCCACAGCGTTTGACAACAACGCTGAGACGGTCAAGAAAAGCTGAAGTCCACTCTCACTCTGCGTTCAAGTCTCTCAACGAACACAGTCCCGGTGAAATCCAGCGGAACACTTCCATTCCCAAGCCGGTCGGAAATCCAATCCACTTTCGTCATGTTCTTTGCACACACCTGCCAGCTGCCAGCTCGAAGCAATCGGCTGACAGTCCCTGGACCCTGGGTTTCCGATTCGATTTTTAGCCCAGCCACCAATTTGACATAGTTGGCAACACTACGTGCCACATCATCTCTCAAACGAGCTTCACCGACATCGCCGGCGATCTCCGCCAGTCGTTTCGCGTACTTCCTGCGAAGAAATCGACGCGGACGCTTCCGAAGTTTCCACGGCTCCCGTGCCATGCCTGAGGATCACCGACAAGGAGCCCGGAATGCTGGGATCGTTCACCAGTTTCTCGAATTCCTCTTCACAGTGTCAGCACGCAAACCTAAACTCAAGCATCGAAGTCTTGCACACTGCGTTTACAAGCAGTGCGTGTCCCGAGGCCCAATTTCCCCATCACCAGAAACATCATACTTCTTGATGAGGGCTGCTGCCTTCTTGCCTCGAAGACTGACAAGCATGTTTGACACAGCTCGTATCATCAACTCACACACACACAGGCGCAGCCTTGGAGAGCTGAGATAGAAAACCAATTGCCCACATTCGTGAGCTCCTCGAAGAAGTTGTTCAAATTACCAGGCATGCGACAGGCAAGCAAGGGCACTCAACATTTGCGCACCGTCGCAGAAACTTCGCCGGAATCGTCATCATCAAAAATTGGCCAAGTTTGTTGGATCATCAGGTCCTGGGCAGAAGTTTCAGCCCAGAAGGGTTTATGTAGACAACGTGAAAGCTAGGAGGATCGGGTTTACTTCTCGCAAGCCCAAGCACACCCTAAATCTGCACCAGCTCCTTTAGCACCGACTGCCAAAGAGCTCAAGGGCCGTGTAAGCCACAGTCGAAGGATCACATGGATCTCCAAGCGATAAGCAAACCCCAAGCGATAAGCAAACCATGCTTGCACAACAATTTAATAATATTTGTCGCTTGGACACTCGACATTCTGCCTAAACAAGCCAACCAAAAGTTCGGCAGCCAGAGTTATCTTGGAGTAGGATGTCGCCAAAAGTTCAGACGCACTCGTCCTTCTCAAGCACTTTCCGTCACTTCGATAGCTATCGAGCAGGAACTTCCCTACGGTAGCTTGATATGGGAAATCCTGTGAGGACCTGCGCGGCTGTAGGACTTGGCCCTTTTGGCGACCTGTACACAAACTTGCTTAGGAGCTTTCCGTACCAGGTGCCAACCAGGCTGAGAGCCGAAGTTCTCTACGAACTGCCTCAGCTTCACGGGTCGAAGGTGACGAAGTAGTCTTACGGGACTTCACTTTCTGCCTCCCAAACTCGGCGTTGCACTCGAATGACCACGAACCATTGCAGATCACCTTCTTCAAATTGCTACAACCCATTGCTTTCGTGCCGGCGGCGGCGAACATGTTGGCAGTGTCCGTCCATCGGATACACGTTTGCGGTCTCCGAAGAAGCTGCCTGAAGAGGGCTAATCCCGAAACCTGTGTCCTTCGAGACTATCGTAAGTATCCTTGGCATCTGTCATGACAGTCAAGGATATGGAGCACACGCAAACTGGCCTCCAGGCTTGATGATGTCGGTGCCCCGGGTTTCGGCAACCACACATCTAACGAGTTCTGCTGCATCTAGTGTTTCTTCTACGCCGAGCAGACTCGCTGGAGTTGGCGGGACCTGAAGTCCAACATGTTGAAGGTGTCACGCTTCCCTCAACCAACTTGGTCCACCAAGAGGACTGAGTAGCAGCTCTGGGAAAATGTCTTTGGGTCTCCACCACTCCCGTCGGAGTTGATGTTTCTCAAGGCTGCATCACTACCAGCCCACCTTCATGCCAATTGGTGTTCCGGAAGGTGAGAACGAAGGCAGGTGTCTCGCCAGGTTGCAAGCTTTCAGCAGCGTCGCAACCGTTGGTTTGGCGATCTGCACCTCGCAGACACGGAACGCGACGTCGAACCTTAGCCTTAGCTGCGTGACAAGCCACTGAAGAGCACCGCTTCGGGCTGGAAGGTCGCGTCGCTCCTTCGCGTTCAAGCTTCTCGACAAGTCCTGGCGGGACCTTCTAGAATCTAGAAACAACCGGTATCTGGAGGTTTCGGTGGTACTCGACCATATTCACATTGACCTCCCCATGGGCCCGAAACCCAGCTCGGCCCCGATCTCGTGGAAGCTCTTGATGGCCTCCTCGTTTCCGGTAACGTCCACGTGCATCAGCATGACGCCTTCCAGAACTCCTACCGGGCTCCATTTGTAGAAGAGTCCACTGTCTATGTTGGAAGGAGCCCAACCTCTGGCGCGCAGTGTCCGCAGTAGCCACTCATGCCAGGCCCTAGGAGCATCCGCGAGACCGAACACCTTTGAACAGGATCCCCGGCCTGAACACCGGCACTTCCGGTTCGGCTGATCCATCAAAAGCAGACGCGTGACGCACGGATCTCTTTTGAGAAACACGGCACGAACGTCGCCGCTCATCATAGGCCAGCTTGGCTTAGAAGCACTGATGGTCAGAAGAAAGTGCAAAGCCAACCTACTAGCTGTAGGTGCATCCGTTCTTAGATGACCTTCCAACAGTGCCCTGTCGTGGAAGCCTGGCACGACTAGACGCACATTCGCCTGACTGGCAAATCACTCCCAGCGGTTCGCAAAGGAGCATTTTGTCAGTCAGTGCGAAGAATCGTGGAGTGGGCAGGGTGTGCTTCGCTCCGGCCTTGATCTCAGAGCGGATGCTGCTCGACTGCTCCATCGTGAAGGGGGTCCGGGGCGGGGTTCTGCACCTCTTTCTCCCACTGTTCCAGCGCAGCCGCCTGGTAGAGCTTTCTCTCTTCTTCACACATCTTCGAGCAGGTCATCTCCTTTCCGACGTTAGCCAAGAAGACCTCGAACTCCGTGGCGTCCAGAGGTATCCTCTGAAGGAGTTGGCCAGTGCCCTGCCCAAGACCCATTTGGGGGCTCGAACCAGCTCCCATTCTTAATGTCTTAACCCACATCTTGCACGAGCTGTTTCAGCGGGTGTTGCGACTTAACAACCGCCGTCATGACATTAATCATTAATCGTCCTGTCTTCGAACTGAAGTACACCTGGCTGGGCCGCTCGATTGCGCACCCTGGGTTGCTTCTTGCCCACTGAATGGTTTCCAACCTTCCGGCCTGAGGCCCCGATGTCTCTGCGGCGGTGCGAGCTCTGGACGCGTCCTGTGGCCACCTAGTTGAGTGGAGCGAAGTTCTCCTAGACCCACATGGCCCGCGGAAGATGTAGTCACCGGAACAGGCACCACCAGGACGCCTTCCCCAGGCTCTGGCGGAGGAGGCTCTCGTACCCCTTCCTCTGAGTGCGGTTCTCCTCCTTCTTCTTTTGGGGGGAAAAGGTGCGCCACCGGATGTGCGACTTCACGAAGAGGATGTGCGCGGCCCGACTTTTGTCACTCACCCCTTGTACGTCACAAGGTAGCAACACAGATCAAAACCAAGCTGGGGCCACGCCATCTTCCAGTCAAGATCTGCTCTGGGAACGGGTGTCTCCACAAGGGTTTGTCACCGGAAGTACGCTTCCCGTGACCAGCCTGGCACCTTTCCTTTGGACACCTTCTGCTTCCTTGAAAAGTAAACAACCTCGCCAGGATCCAGTTGCTCTGGATTTGGTACCCGGCCTCTGGCCAACAGGGAGCGACGCAAGGAGCGGCTGTAGTCTCACCATCGCGACTTTCGCAGCCTCACGCATGGCCACTTGCCGTTCAAAGCTAAATTCTCGAGGTTTACGGCCGCGCTGAGCCAGACGACCCCGCAATCCCAAAACGTCACCAAGTTTCCGTGGCACTCTTTGCGAGGGGCTAAAACCGCTGTCGTTGATGTCGTCGGCATGCCCACCCGCCGAAAACTCCATCACAAGGTGCCTTCAAGACCGTGCCTCCAGCTCTTTCGACAATGCCGTTGCGCCACGGCGTCTCTACCGGAGTCCTCGAGTGGTACATGTCCAGGAACTCGCAGGCTTCACTGAAGGTGTGGGCACCAAGACTTTCGGAGCTCCAGGGAGCACTTTCTTTGCGATTTCCGCCACCGAGTCGTCGGCCTTGATTTCCACATTTAGTAGAGCGGCAAGTTGAGTCCCCAGGAAGTCCTCCGCGAGGTCCAAGAAGTTGGCGAATCCTTTTGATCATTTTCTCCCGATCCTCGCTCACGGCAGCCTGCGCTGCCTGCGCCATCTGCGACTCTGCCATGTGGGGGGGAGTGCGCTTCAGCGTCCGCATTCCCACACATGCAGTTAGCACTCACTCAACTCGAAGACCAGCTTGTTGCGAAGATCGGTCGCGAATTTCTTGTTCACGCCGTGAGAAAGCTTCGCAGGTAGCCTCCACGGGCTACCATCGCCGCAGCCTGCTCCTCCCACTTGCCCACCGTGTCCGCTGATGGCACCGGAAAAGGAAGGTACCGAGGAGACGGCACCCATAAGCGAGAGCAACAGGCCCCACCCCAAAAGTGCCATGAAGCGCGCTTTGCGAGCTGCCATCCTCCGATAGAGCGGTTGGCCCTTCGCTCGAGCTCCGACCGCAAACATCTCGAGAACGATCACCTTGAGCTGAAACTGCTGAGCGGGTTGAGCTAAGGTTCGTCGCCGAGCCAACAGTGCATGATCACCGACAGCATGTAGAGGGGCTGGTTCTACAGCACCCTGACGAAAATCTCCACAAACTTCTCTCGCGCACACTTCTTTTGCTCCCCCTGTTGGCTTCGGTCTATACACAAATGTTCCTCTCCTGGCATCCAAGAAATCCCTGCCCAACAGTCGTTTGGAAGAACACTGTACCAAACCAAAAAGACTTGATCCCCAAACTGCATAGGAAGACGAACCCTTCGTTCCGAAGTTCAGCACCCGCCATCCCCGAAGCAGAATGTTTGCTTGCAAGGAAGACTTTGACTGCATGCCCAAGCTCCCGACGGATCGACGTACAGGTCGCTTCCACCCATTTCCTGCCGCAGCAGTTTCTATTGCAGCAGGAGTCCACTGCAGCGTGGAAAGGCTTCTCCCAAGTCGCCTCAACCTTCTGTATCTCCAAGTCAAAAACTCCTCAAACCCATCCATGCAGAATCTGTCGGCTTACCAGAGCCCTGACGATGATGCCATCGCCTCCAACTCGCGTTCCTGCGCCTCCTCCAAGCTCGTCATCGGCCTGGTTTTCATACACCTGGCGCTCTTCTCCTTCCTCATCCTCCTCCTCCAAAGCCTGGTGCATTTCCGCAACCTGGGCTTCAGGCGAGGCGGGACCGCGCGGTCGCAGGCTCCCAAGGAAGGGTTTCTCCGAGAAGTCGATGTTGTCGATGGAGCCGCGCGGATCCACATGACAAGCCCGGGCCCCGAAGACCACATGGAACGCCCTCATCCGCTCCAAAATGCCTGCTTCTGCTCAACCTCGTTGGAGGCTGGGTCCTCCCCAACGGTTGTCTCCAAAAGCTGCCTTTGGATCTCACTCAAACCATGCCTTTGCTGGAAAATCCAAGCATACTCGGTATCCTGAACCAAGATGCCTTCCGCTTGAAGCCCACCCTGCAACGTCCAGAAGTTCGCAGCAAACTGGGTAACACTTTCTTTCACCAGGGCGACACCGCAAGCTGTTGTACAGTTTGCTTCTCAGCTCATGCTTCTTTTCAGTGCGCGTTTTACCCGACAGCTCTTCAAAGGCATCAAGGAGCTTACGCACGCCCTCGTTTGTAATCAGGAGCCCGAGCCACGACTTCTTCACCATCCAGGCCTTCACTGATCTCACCGGGGTCATACGCTGCCTCATCCAGGTCAAATTCCTCCACGAGCCTGGCAGCCCCGGTTTGCCGCAACAAGACTCTTGCTGCCGGCGAATATCTCGTTGTTTTCTCTAAATCAAGACCAGCGAGCCATAACTCGGTGTTTCATCTAAACTTTCTAAGCGGCGAGGGGTCGTTGCCCCAAACAGGAATGTAGTTATCAAACCCATCCCCCTTCGACTCCCAGTCCTGTGACGCCATGGCTCAAGCGGCAGGACACGAAAATCGGGTCCTAAGAGGTAGTACACGAAGAAAAAGTCCTTGGTCATGTAGACCTCGGTCAGCAGAGCTCGTACACGTGCTCGCCACGGTAACAGGAAGCCTACCGGGGCAAAGGATTGTGGATGTAGAGGTGGGAGTTGTAGGTGACGGTCCCGGTTACGTGCGCTCCAATCAGGAAGATGAAGCGGATAAAGCCGTAGATGGGATTGTAAGGCAAAAGTCTTTAGGCAAGTCACCGGCCCTCAGGTGGCCGTAAATTGGGATCCCTTTTCAGGTTCCTTCTGGAACCCTCAGAGGACTACGAAGACGGGCTCGAACCCCGTGTTCCCTGGAGTGGTCTCGCTTCCTCGGGTGAAGGAGGTTCTGCCTGCTCCTCGTCGTCGGCGTCCTCCGACGATCTCAGCAGCTCTGTCTGTTCCTCTGTCCTTTTCCAGCCTTCTTCGCCTTTTCTCCCTCTTTCCCTTTTCTCCTTCTTACCCTTGCGTAGGAGTCTCGCCGCTCTCTTGCCTCTCGAAGGCCCTCGTGCCGAAATGCCTGATCACCGGCTCGAGCTTCTGGGCCCGCCCGTCACACGTAGAGCAGGCCTCCCAGGAAGTGCCCGCGGTTTACACCTCCGGTCCCACTGCACAAGTCGCTGCCTTCTTGTTCGATGCCGTAGAAAGGATACCCCTGCGCTCCACGTCACGTGCATGGGCCTGACCACCCCAACGCTTAGTCTTGCTTGGTCGCTTCTTCGGCCTGGGCTGTACTGTAGCCTCAGCTGTAGGGTTCAGGCCAATCTCGTCCACACTAGCCTGCGGAATTCCTTTCATTTTCCTTTCTGCTGTTGGCTTCCTTTCTTTCCCTTCTGCTGTTGGTTTCCTTGCTTTCCGTCCTTGCTTTTCCTGCACTTGCTCTTGCCCTTTCCTTTGCTCCGGGAGGAGAAGCCAAGTCGCGATATGAACGAGGCTCACGGAGTGCGCGCTGCTACGGCGAGTCGGTACCCGAAGCGGGAACCCTTGTAAGCAACTAGGCTCGGCTACCATTGACTGCGAAAGCTAGAGGGATCGGGTTTACTTGTCACAAGCCCAAGCAAACCCTAGAACTGCACCAGCTTCTTTAGCACCGACTGCCAAAGAGCTCAAGGGACCTGCCACAGTCAAAGGATCACATGGATGTCCCAGAGGTAAGCCAACCATGCTTTCACCGGCAATGCATCTCCACCAAAATCCACACCAGTGTAGCCGTCCAAGCTGCCGAGTTGTTTCCACCGCCATTCAGCTGCGCCATGACCTGATCGAACATCTTCTGGGCCTTGTCCAACGTCGAGCTGAAGTCTTCCAAGCCTCAACATGTTCCCTCCAAGGCTTCAGCGACGTGAACCCGACTTGCAGGTGCTGACTTGCCGAGCCATTGTCAGAAGAGCGGTCGACTCGGACAAATGAGGCCACAGCCTTTGGTGACCTTGTCTCCAAACTGAAGTATCCACTTGCCGACCTTTTGCGCAACACTCCCGCGGCAGCTCACTGCACTGCACTTTACTGCACCCTCTCTCTATCTCTCCTCGTTGCCTGCTCCAGAGCTGGTTTGATCTTTTCCAGCAGGGTGTGCAATCCTCTTTCCACCTCCTCCATCACGAAATCCATCACCTGGAGAGCTTCACGCTGAGCCTTTCGGCCTTTAGGGGCTTTCCGGCCTGGTGTATCGCGCCAATGATGATTGGCACCAAAGCCTCTACATGGGACCTAGGCCGAGCACACGCAGCCATGACGACATGGACTGCCACGGGAAGCTTCATGTCTACGTGCAGCCTCGCGGCGCATTCTTTTGATGAAGCTCCTGCAACAGAACCAAGCCACGCTCTGGGCCGTGCTGCTGCAGCAGGGACAGCTCTGGATGTTTGGAAATGGCCTCAGACAGAGGAGGCACATTGCCCCAGGATGCAACTTCCGAAGACGAGCCCAGGGCAGCATCGGTTTCGTTCCCAACCTGAAGGAGAGCCGAAACGCGCCGAGGGAGTACTCGCTGCTGGTTCAAACGCGTCCATGGCGCCATGGAGAGGACGATGTCCAACTGGCTCTGGGCATCCACAACGTGCTCCAGGCTGCCAAGCAGAAGTGAAGAAACCTTCACAAGAAACGCCATTCAATGAGAACCCAAGCTTTGAACCCCCCCGTACTATGGATAAAAAGATCTCAGATCCGTGCGTTATTCATCTTGTGGTCGATCTCCTTGCATTGTTAGCGGTCCAGTGCATTGATCTCGCCAGGCGGACCAGGCCAAAAGGCACTCGCTTCCCAAACCCGATCCGGGATCTAATCGAAAGCTTGTGCAAACCAATCCCAGTTTATTCAATGGCTCATGACCGGACCTGATCGCTTGTCTCTTGCAGGATCCTACAGGCAATGCCGAGCATCTGTTTGGAGTGCTGAAGCAATGCCCGTACCGACGTTGGACCAGCCTTACGAAATTTGCAGCGCAACAGCAACTGGCGCTGACCGCTTCCTGTGGCACCTCGAGTGGAGTGGCCAATCTCCCGTAGCGCATCCGCGGTCCATTTGTTGCCGACCAGCACGACCGCCTAATATGCCAAGTCAAGCTCCCATGTCCCAACTCCAAGAGTCGCTTCTCAGGCCAGCACGTTGAACACGACCGTGCTGACCTGCCGAAACACGTGCGGAAACTTCCAAGAAGTGGCAGCAATCGTCAACGCTCCGTGGCAGATTCTCTGCAACACCTGGTTGCCTCTCTCTCTCCCACCTTCTGTGTCCCCTTCCTACACGTATCTCAGCCGAGCATCGACCAAGAAGATTGTGCACCAAGGCGTGGATGGCGAGGTCAAAGAGCCTGCCATTACCTGAAACTGAAACGCATCCGCGAGCAGCTCTCTGCTGCCTTGGCCCTTCCTTTCCATCACTTTTCCATCATTATCGAATGCGGAACCGAACTCGAGACTCGATTGCTGACAGGAGGCGTAAACGTAATTCGGTTAACGAGCGGACCTACACCGCTGGACAGGTGGCGTTACTCACCTGAGCCAGGTGCCTGCAAGAATGGCGTAAGTCTGTTTCATACTGTTTCCCTGAGAAAGCCGTCTGATGTGCAGTGAGGCTTTTGCAAGGCCGGACCGTGTGCCACACACCTTTTTTCGGCTACCAGCAGCGGTGCAGGGCGTGTCTCAGGCGCCACACCTTCCAGTTCCTGGCATTTGAGAGGGTCAGTTGGTCAGGCTTTGCCACAGTTACAGTCATAGGCCGTACCAAGTACCTCAGGGCGATCGCATCGAGTTTGCCGCAGGAGCAGCTCCTGCAACTGCCATAACAACACTTGAGTCCCGGAAGCAACTCCCAAGCCGCCTCTGGCAGCGGAAGCCCTCCAACTGAGCTCAGGAGAGCCTCGAAGGGAGTCACCACACTCGAGTCAGTACTGGTCCGAACCATCGAAATTGCAAGCCTCCATTGCATCATACTCGTCCAGAAATAGCTGCTGAAGATCCCTGACCTTGTACCAGCACAGGCTCGCCAAACTATTCGGGGCAATAGCTGTCCAGAGACTTCCCTTCTTAAGGCCAGACAAGGGATTCGTTCTGACACAGATCGGTGCGGTAGCCCCTGAGCCAAGGGAAAGTGCTGCAGTCGACGGCTGTGACCACTGAATCAACGGAGAATGTCGCCTCTGATGGTTGTGCCGCTCGATCTTGAAAGTAGCGGGTAGCCTGAGATCTCGAGGCGACGCTGTGTTCATGGTGCAGGTGCTCGACACAGGATCTTGGCTTCGAACTTTCTCGCGCCGAGAAAGTGTGCAACATCTGTGTAAGTCTCGACAGGCTGGTGTCGCAGATGCGCCTCTCTGAAACAAAGGCGCCAACACCCAACAGCGGAAACTGATCGGCCCGACCGGCACCTGATGGATCATGCGAAGCCTGCTGCCCAACAGGCCGTACAGCGAGCGAATGTGAAAGCCTCAACATCAACGCACCAACAACGAACATGGAAAGGCGCAGCGCTAAGTCTCTCTAAGGCAAAGCACCGAAGCTGGCCTGTCTCACCATTTCGGGTTCCTGACCATGTCGGCTCTTGATGAGCAAACGTGAAGATTAAGATGTGCCTCCAGCGCACTCACAGGCCCGCGGAAGCAGCGCTCTCGGCCATCTGCCAACTTGTGCCGGGGCATCACAGCATGAGCTTTGCAGTGGAGGTGCATCCAAAACCTGACCAGTGACCGGTCTCTGTTGCTGTTGCCCCCATGAAGCAAGTTGTAGCAGCTTTCTGCGTGTGAATTCGACAGAACATGAAGCGCAAAGCCCCGTGCCACTTTTCAAACCTGCACAGGTCTTGCAAAGCATCACATACACAGAATGGCCACAAGCTTGCGTGTTTCGCTGAAACACAGCATGGCTTCTGATTGCAAAGGCAAACTGTGGGCTAAGTAACCTGCTTACGGGGTCGCACACGATGATCACAACCTTCAGCCTGGCATGATCGAAGTCTGAGACAAGAATTTCAGCTCTTCAGTCTGCGCCTGGGAATGTGGGTCAGAGCGAGCCGCACCCGATGGCTGTGGTAGAGGCCAGGATGACGCAACCCGCGAAGGCATTCCGAGCAAGAATGGGACAGCCACTGAAAGTTGAAGCTTTCGACCTTCGGGAAACCCATGGCAAAATACTTGGCCAGTCCATGTCCTGGCCTCGTCCCTGTAGGGAAGCAAGGAGTCGTGCTTGTAGAAGAAATCGTCTTCGCCGTGCATTGTGAAATCCACATCAGTGACCTGACATGTAACAAACGACCCAGACAAGTTTCTGGCAAAGGTCTCATCGTGCCTGGTCTAGCGCATTGGTGATAGTGTTGGTGCCACAGCTGCTCAACCCCCCGATAACGAAATCCAGATGTAGTTGTGACCAGTGGGAGAGCTCCTGAACCTGCCATGGTTAAGAAATGCGATTGAAGAGAACACCTATCAGCCTGCCCAAGGCCTTCAAATGCTCTGCAGTTGAAGGCAAAGCGAATTTGAGATGTAATGCACGAGCAAGATAAACAGGATAAACTTGCGCTTGCACCTGCCCGAACCCACTGAGCACTGTCTCAACGCATCAAACTGCGGCGACAGCAGCCTTGGCCCGATCGCAAGTTGCATGGGCACAAAGACCACCCAGAAGGCGATCTGGGACACCACTCCACAAGCCCATGAAGTGGTCTAAACATCCTGGGCAGTCTGCCTCAGACCAAATTTCTCGTGAAAGTGATGCTGCAGTCTTGGAGGTCTGAGTTTATGCCACAGTCGAGTCACGTCGTGAGTCGAACCAGAAACTCGTAATGTAGAGACATACGACGGAGTGTCCAATTCGGTCTCCCAGTAGCGTCCACCCACGGACCAACAACGCCGTGCTTGTTCTTCCACAGCTTGGAAACGAGCATTGACCCAATGTTCCGCTGAAGCATCACCGTTTTCTGCTCTTCGCCAAGATGCTGTAGATGCGCCTGCTACTTATGATTCGACCAATTTGGGGAGACAATATGAAAACTCGGATACGCACACATCAATCTCCCCTTTCAAACTGGGTTCCCGTCCAGAATGCAAGAAAAACGGCTCGGGATCAATGTCAACACAACACCAAACTGACACGAATGCCAAACTGGCTCGCTTCCATTGGCTCATCTTCGGTTTGAGCCAACACCGGAGCGAGCACGGTTGCATTGTTCATGCAACGTTAAATGTCGCAACAACACAAAGCCACTGTGGACAGAGCCGAAGCACCGGAGCTTCCTAGACACTTACTAGATACTAGGAGATCAATTCGGAGTCGAGCGTTGGCCAGCCACATTCTCTTGTATACGTGATTTGGATTGGAACGTTTTGCAAGAACAGTTGCAGACTGGTAGATTGGCCACACATTTGTCGCGAATGGGAAACATTCTACTGACATTGGTTCAAGTTGTGGGCGATGGACAATCCCCAAACCCTGAAAGGAGATGCTGTTATTCTTTGTTGTGGAAAGTAACATGTACAATCCTTATGTGAATGTTTCCCAAAGATATCTCAAAATCAAAATCCTTCGAACATTCGTGTATATAAAAATTCAATCCGGTCAGCTCTTCCGCTCCAGCTCTTTTACATCTGCCAGAGATTGCTACAATGAATTTTTTCTTGCTGTGCACCCTCCTTCCGCTTGAGGCGAGCGAAAGATATGAAATGCTTTTACTCGCCGGTGTTTTACATGCATCAACAGAAAACGCGAGACCGGAACGTGCAAGCGGTTCAATTTTGAAAAAATTATGCTCCGCTTCAAAAACTCAGATGGAGCATGCCTTTCTACATGCAACCTTACAAGTGCACAGTCTCGGATTTGGGGCTTCAGGGTGACATTTGGTCTTGACTACAAGAGTATTTTACCAAGGGTCCTCCTCCAAGGTCTATTGTTGCCTGTGCATGCCGCATGTATGTTGGGTCAGAAGACGTTGCAACTTCTCTTGCATTAAACAGCCCATGCAGTGGACTCGAAACGCTCAACTCCTTTGCTCTGAACCCCGAACCCCAAACCCTGAACCCTGAACCCCACCCTGAAGCGTCTTGGCGAACTTTGGGAGAAAAGAGCAGCCCGCGATCCAGCAATCTGCTGCATTCGCACTGCTTCTTGGAAGTGTATCAGTTTTCACTGGTGAGAATCAGAAATGCATGACGACACCTCGAAAATGCAAGTGCTCTTGTGTTTCTGGCGGAGTCCAGAACGTTCCGTTTCAGCCAAATAATACTTCTTCTGCGATTTAAAAGCTCTTCCCTAACAACACCTCTACAGCTTGTCACCGCACATGAAACTCCGGCACCAATAGGGGGCTCTACATGCCGCGAGCTTTTCAAAAAAGCAACACCTGTTTAGATTTTGATGCTGTTGACCAGACCCTTATTCTGGGTCCGCCAGACGGCACCCAAAATGGGTTTCCTAGTGTTGGTCAGTACGCAGCGGGGCCGTTTTGAAAAACAACAACTCGCTCTGCTCTTTTGTCGCAGAAGGGCTGCGGTTCGCAATCAGAATTGTCAACACTGCGTCTTGCAATGCACACTTCACTCATGGCACTGTATGCCTTCACCAGGGGTTTGTTAGGTCTAACACGCCCCCTCAGCCAATACTTCTTTGAAGTACTGGCTGCCACTAGAGATTCAAACCCGGGAACCTGTACTTGACAGTCGGCACCCAGTGATCTGCAAAGCACTGGTTGCATGCCGCCTTTCCATTCTCAATGGCCTCTCGGGCCACCACCCTCTTTACATTCTTGGCATGCTTCAAATTGCTGCAGGAGCGGCGGTGGTAGGCATACCCGAATTCCGTCACCAAACACTCGGTGTCAAGGTCGTGCCATGTAAGGCACTTGGTTGCGCACTCTAGGAAACCGCGTCTCTGTACAGACAAAGCCACCCGAGCATCAGGCCTCTGAGCGGTGAATCGTGTAGCCGACGAGGAAGCACTGGCCGCCAGCTCCGGGGCTACTTCCGTAGCCTGCTCAAGCCCTGGTCCCGGAGGGAAGAGATCCTCGTAGGTCAGGGTCTCGTGCAGCCTCTGTCGGGCCTCCTCCAGTGTCTCTGGCTCACAGGGTGGTTCCCTTTGGCTTCTGGTCTCCTTCTCGGGCTGCTTGTTGGGTCTGGTTCCCTTGGGCTTGTTCTCCTTCTCGGTCTCGGTCTCCTTGTCGGCGGTCTTGTGGTCCGTTTGCGTTGCAGCGTCCGAGCCGGCTGGGCCTCGGCTCGAGACGCTGAAGCTCAGAGTCCACCTGCTGGTCACCAGCACGTAGGTAAGGAGGGCCGCAAGGAAGAAGACCGGGTTGTTGTAGAACACCTCCAAAAAGTAGAAAAGCACCGCCTCCAGGTAGATCCCCGCTTGGCCACTGTCTGGGCCGCTGCAGCCCTGCATGGTCATCACCATCAAGGCCTGCACCATCCTCACCATAAGGTCGCCGCCAGAACGTCCCAAAACATCTCGGCCAAGGGCCTCCGCATGCTCCTCCTGGCCAATGTGGTTGCCATGGTCGTCCACCATGCCGGCCAGGAAGCACAACATCCTCAGCCTCCGCTGTTGCAGGCTTTTCGTGCCCATGTCGCTTGGGTTGAACTGGGTGGGCACCGCCGCCACTCGTAGTGTCTTGGCCGCCACCCACTGCTGTATCCAGAGGCAGCTTGTTTGCAAATGCCTCACCCGGCCGACTCCAAGTCGGCTTGCGATGGCTCTTGCCACCGACGAGTCGCTCCTCATCACCAGCTTGGCCTCCTCTTGCGTGGTCCACACCCAGGCCTTGTGCACCAAGATCGCCTCACTGGTGACCTGGGTCAAGGCGACAAGTTCCGCCTCGCCCGAGCTCAAAGTAACCACCTTCTGGCCCCGCACAAAGCTGTACATGAGCGCCTGGTCGATGTAGATCTGGCCGCTGCTCAAGCTCTTGCGGGCGGTGCGGTCGTTGGCGAAATTGGAGTCGGAATAGCCTTCCACAAGGGTCCAGGTTTTTTTGGGTATTTTTTTGGTTTTTTTCTGGGTATTTTTTTTGGTTTTCGGGGC